AGAGAGAGAGAGAGAGAGAGAGAACCGCACACATGGTCTTTGACGCACACGTGGCGACACGTCTACAATGCGGCGACGGCACCGGCGACGACGTGCCCACGACACGGGCGACGACGTGGCGGCTTCACGGCGGAAACCTGGCGCGGCACTAAAAATCGAACGTGCGTTCAGACATTGAACGCGCGCGTTCACTTTTCGAACGCTCGTTCAATTCCGTTTGAACGCGCATTTAAAAACTGAACGCGGTTGCGCGGCGGGTGACGAGGGGACAACGAGCGGGCGGGGCAGCCTTCGTAACTGCCGCAGGGGGTGGTGGGTGGGGGGGGGGGGGGGGGGGGGGGGGGGGCCTGGGGTCTTCGAGGGTTTGGTGCGTCGACAAGGGGACCAGGCCCGCTTGGCGTTGCTGGGTGGTTCTTCGGGGAGAGTGGTGGGCCCGCTTGGCGTTGATGGGTTGTTCTTCGACGACAAAGATGCCGCGAGGGCAGGCAAGAGCGTTCGAGGATGCCGGAGAAGACGAGAATCATAAGGCGCAGAAGAAGTGGTGTCTACAAGTACATCCGCGTGGGTCAGAGTCTTGGGGACTCGACGGGGAGAAGTTCCGCGGGAACCATATGTTGAAGTGCCTGTTCTGCAGCCATGAGTTTCAGGGGAACCAGTACGTGGCGGCACGCCATTTCAGTCAGGGGAAAGGGTGTCCGTCAGTGACCGACGAGGCGCTGGTGGACATACACTACAACTCGGACTACAAAATGGAGGGGAAGATCCTTGACCGGTTGCTTCGGTTCGAGGAGCTTCACGGTCCGACACCTGCGATGGATCCGTGCAGGGATGAGGGAGGGGCGGGAGGGGCGGGGCAAGATAGGGGTGAAGAGGAAGTGGTCGGCGTGGACAACGTCGACGACGAGGGTGCGGAGTCAGCGCGGCCTGGCCCATCGACGAGGGACCGAGGGAAGGGCGTCGTTCACGAGCCGTGGGGCCAGCAAGCCCGTTTCTTTAGGGATGCGCATGTGTCGGCTCGCACTCAGGCACAACGGGATGCAGAAGACGCGACAATTGCTGTGGGGAACAGAAAGGAGAGAGAGGAGGGGGCGAGGCCGGGTGGGCAAAATCGGCTGAGACAAAACACCATTACGGACTCGTATTCTTCGCAATGGCAGATGGAGTTCAAGAAGAAGTTTCTAAGGTTTGTCTACAGTCAGCATTTGTCATTCAACGTCTTCCGGAGCGAGCCATGGAAAGAATTAGTGAAACACTTTGGGAACTTGCCGGGGCCAGTGAAGGTTTTGTGGCCGTCRCACAACGAGATCGCCGACATGGAGACGGTTGTCCGCACTGCAGATGATGTGGCGGGTGATCTCGCAGAGGTCAGGGCTCCTTTCTATGTGACGGGGGCCACCATCATGTCGGATGGCAGGAAGTCACGTGATGATAGACCAATCGTTAACTTCCTTGTCGGCGGGTCGCGCAGAGTGATGATGGTGAGGGCAATGAACAGGGAGGGCGAGATAGACCAGGCGCCTTATGTGTTGGTGCACTGGATCAAGGTGTTCTATGACTTCCCTCCTCATTGGGTTAATGCCATCTGCACGGACTCTGCCTCTGTGTACGTCGCCGCGACAAACATGCTCCAGGACACCCAGCTGAGGCCAGAGTTTAGATGGATCACGTGGCTGTCGTGCGTAGTGCATGTCTGCAACAAAATGTTGTCAGACATTGGTTTGTCAAGCCCGTGGTCAAAGGACATCATTGTGCGTGGGAGAACGGTGGTGCGCTTCATCAACGAGCACATCTTCACTCTGCATATCTTCAGGGGGGAGAGCACGCACATGGGACTTATTTATCCCTGCGAAACACGATTCGCATCTGTGTTCGCTATGATGGAGCGTTTGCTGGCAGTAAGGTCAGCGTTGGAGAGGACAGTGGACGGCGACGGTTGGGGTTTTGTCCCGTGGGACAGCTCCGTAGCTCAGCTGGCTCGATGGGTTAGGTGGCAGGTGCGGCATGGTTCTTGGTGGGATTCCATGGGAGTCCTTGTCCGCATTATGGAGCCTGTGTACGACATGCTTCGCAAATTGGACCGGGGAGGGCTGCACATGTCGCGGGTTGTGCAATGGACGCAGGACGTGACCCGCGATGTAGCACGTGAGGTCCGCACACTTCCATCTGATGTTGCGCACTTCATTATGTAGAAAGTGCAGGCTCGGTGTGCTCACATGTTGCAGCCGGCGCATGCCGCTGCTCACGTTCTGTGTCCAAGTCGCCGAGACTTGAGGTCTATGTTGCACGCCCGGTCACGGCCGGGGCCGAAAACTCGGCCGCGGCCACGGTCGTCGGCCAAACAGGCCGGGTTCGGCCACGACCGACCAGCCAAGTTTGGTGCAGCAATTTGTTTCCCATATTTTAGCGCAAAAAAAAAATAAAAAAATATGGGCGTGTAGGGTTCAAAAAACCCTACACGCCCATATGTTTTTGGGGGGCATTGTTGTTTTCTATTGCGTTAAAAAAAAAAAAAAATGAAAAAAAAAAAAACAAACACTTCGAACCCCCGCGCAAGTGTGTGTGTGTGTGTGTGATCGGGTGGGGCTGCGGGGGGCGACCCCTCCCCCACCAATCAATCAATCAATCAATCATTCAATAAAAATTAAAAAAACGAGAAAATGGGCTTTCAAACCCCGCGCAAGTGTGTGTGTGTGTGTGTGTGTGTGTGTGTGTG